TCTAAGCTTGAGTAGTTTCACTGGAGATGTAGACCTCAGTGTAAGTCTCACGCCTCATACAAAAATTAACTTTAAGTGTTTCACAGAATTAACTGTAAGACATAAAAGCTATAACACTTCTAGAAACACACACATACACACACACGAGAAAATATTTGAGATTTGAGCTTGGCAAAGAGTTCTTAGATTCCAAGATATAGATTTTATGATACATAAAAGAGAAAATAACTTGGATTTCATCAAAATTAGAAACATTTGCTCTGTGAAAGCTCAGTTGAAAAAGATGAGAAGACAAATTACAGAGTGGGAGAGAAAATATTTGCAAACTGCATATTTGACAAAAGTCTAGTGTCTAGAATATATAAAGAACTTCCAAACCTTAACAATTAAAAACAAACAATCCAATTAGAAAATGAACAAAAGACACTGAGAGACATCTCACTGAAAGGGATATAAAGGTGGAAAATAAACACAGAAGATGTTCAGCATCATTAACGATTAGAGACATACAAATTAAAACCACAGTGGATGGGCTTCCCTGATGGCACAGTGGTTAAGAATCCGCCTGCCAATGCAGGGGACACCGGTTCGAGCCCTGGTCCGGGAAGATCCCACATGCCGCAGAGCAACTAAGCCCGTGCGCCACACCTGCGCTGTAGAGCCTGCGTGCCACAACTACTGAAGCCTGCGCGCCTAGAGCCTGTGCTCCGCAACAAGAGAAACTGCCACGGTGAGAAGTCTGCACACCTCAACGAAGAGTAGCCCCCACTTGACGCAACTAAAGAAAGCCCACACACAGCCACGAAGACCCACCACAGCCAAAAATAAATGAATGAATGAATGAAAAAACACAGTGGAGGTATTATTACACACCTGTCAGGATGTGTAAATAAAATGAAAAATATTGACGACATCAAATGCTGATGAGGATGTGGAGAAACTGGATCGCTCACGTTTTGCTGGTGGGGATTTAAAATAGTACAGCCACCCTGAAAACGTTTGGCAGCTTCCTAAAAATATTAAACATGTAACTACCGTACAACCCAGAAATTATACTCCATGGCTCTTTTTCCCCAGAGACATGAAAATGTATGTCCACACAAAAACTTGCACACTAATGTTTGTAGCAACATTATTCATAATAGCCAAGAACTGGAAACAACCCACATGTCCTTCATCAGGCAAACAGTTAAACTATAGTCCATCCATAGCATGGCATAATACTCTGCAATGTAAAAGGAACTAAATATTGATACATGAAGACACCTGGATGAATATGAGAATTATGCTAAGTGAAAAAAAAACCCTAAAAGGTCACAAACTATATGGTTTTATTTATATAACATTCTTGAAATGACAACATTATAGAAATGGAGAGCATATTAGTGGTTGCCAAGTATTAAGGAAGGGAGTCAAGTGAGCAGTGGGTATGGCTTTAAAAAGGCAAGAGGAGGAATCTATGTAGTGATGGAAATGTTTTGTATCTTGATTATCAATGTATATATCCTGGTTGTGATATTTTGATATAGTTTTGCAAGATATTACTATTGAGGAAAACTGGTAGTACGCTGGATCTCTCTGTATTGTATTATTTCTTACAGTTGCATGTGAATCTATTATAACCATCTCAAAATTGTAATATATATATATATATAAAACTAAAACAAAAAAATAAGCACAGGCCTCTGACTGGATTTGGCCTACAGACCATAGTGTGCCAACTTCTGGCTTAAGTGATTTGGTCACTTTCTACGTCTCACCCCTTGCCTTGTGCCAACATTGCTTCCCCCTGTCTCACGGAACATCAGCTGCATTGGCTTCCTCTGTTCCATGGACAGGCCGACACTGTTCCTGCCTCAGGACTTTCATACTTGCTGTTCCTTCTTGGATAACTCTTCCCACTTATACTCACCTGGGAGATTCCACTTATTATTCAGGCTTCGTTCAAGTGCTCAATGTATGCCTCCTTTACTCTATCCCCGTTCACTTTTTATCGTATTGCACTTTTGTTGTACTTTCTTACTCTATGAAATAATCATTTTACTTCTTGTTAATTATTTGTCTTCTCCCTAGGATTTAAGCCCCATGAGAGCAGGGTCTTGCTTGTCTTCTTTACTACTGCATGTCCAGCACCCAGCATCTTTGCTTAGCACTGAGTAGATGTTCAATATAAATTTGTTAAATGGTCCAAAGAAGGACTCATATGGATGAGAAAGAAAAGATAAACGGATAGTCCCAGTTAGGTTTTATGGGAGGGAATGGGTTCATGCATTTATCATTTGTTCCACTTACCCATTCATTTATCCTTCATTTACTGAGTGCCTATTGTGTGCCAGGTTCTGAGCCAGATTCTTGGGGTTTTTTGGGGTTTTTTTGCGGTACGCGGGCCTCTCACTTGTGGCCTCTCCGTTGCGGAGCACAGGCTCCGGACGCACAGGCTCAGCGGCCACGGCTCACGGGCCCAGCCGCTCCGCGGCATGTGGGATCTTCCCAGACCGGGACACGAACCCGCGTCCCCCGCATCGGCAGGCGGACTCTCAACCACTGCGCCACCAGGGAAGCCCCTCACACCATTTTTAAGGATTAGAAATTTAGGAGTGGCTTAGCAAACTGGGTGGTTTAAGAAAATAGAAATGTATTTTCTCAAGGTTCTGGAGGCCAGAAATCTGAAATCAAGATTGTAAACAGGGTCTTCCTCCCTCAAAGGGCTCCAGGGGAGAAAGCATCCTTGTCTCTCCAGCTTCTGGTGGCTGCAGCACTTGGTGACTTGTGGCCACATCGCTCCGATCTGCGCTCTATCCCCACGTGGTCCTTTGCATGTGTGTAATCTCTCTGTGCCTCTTTTTTATAAGGACATTTGTGACGGCATTTAGAGCTACCTAGGTAGCTAATCCCCATTAGTCTCCTCATCTCAAGAGCTTTAATATAATTACATCGGCAAAATAACGTTACCATAGAAGGTAACATTCACAGGTTCCGAGGGTTAAGACGGGGACGTATCTTTGGGAGCCATTATTAGCCCTGCCACACCACCTCATAGGTTTGCCATAAGGATTAACTACGTTAAATTAGATACAGTGTTTAGATTATGCCTGGAATATAGAACATATTGTTTTAAAGAATAAAAGTGGTAGGGAATCAGTGGGGGGTGGAAAGAACTGTGAGTAATACCCCGCCCCAGATATCTTCTGTTACCTGGTGAGAAGGTCAGCCCTTCCTCCAGCACTCACCCCTACATCTCTGCAGACAGATGACCCAGCCCCAGGTACCAGCACACAGCTCCCAGTGACCCCAGGACTAGGTGCCTTTCTGTCTGACAGTGAATGTTCTGAGACAAGCAGGGGCCTCCTCTGAGCTTGTATTAATATGTACAGCACTTCACTCCCATAGAAAATTGCTTTTTCTTTTTAAGCACAAAATGTAGCCAGTTTTATAACCTTTCTGCCGCTTGACAAAGGCCATTTATAACCAACTCTCTCTGTCACCCTTCCCGGCGCCAGTCTCAAATGTCTTGAAGAACTCTCTCGTGCATCTGTAATTATGAATTCTTCTTAGGCAAAATTTAATTTCTAAGAGAGATGAACTTTTTTGGTTATTGTGGTTTTTGTAAATTAATTCTGGGGTGTGTGTTTTGTTACTGATGTTGTTCAGGATGACAGCTTGGGGAGGGGACGAGGGAGCTGGTTGGGAGGAGGGGAACGTTGGGAGGGCGTTTTAATCAGCGATGTCCAGTGATAGATGAGGAGGGCCGGGCTCTGGGTGTTAATCCTGGTGGACAGGAAATGCCAGCAAGGTGACTGAAATTAAAACCTAGTACCTCATTTTCTCTCCCAAACGCAGGAGAATTGGAACTTCTCCATCTGCTGGACTGGAGATGAGCTCAGCCTCATCAAATGATGGGAAACTAAATTAAATAAATAGGTGGTTTTACCAAGGGTATAAGAGCTTCCATTTACGGAGCACTTAGCAGGTGCACCCTTAGCTGGGCACACCAGAAGAGCATTCGACTGAGGTCACTCAAGGTTGGAATTGTTGGGGCTTTTAAGGGACCAGAGGGCAACCCGTTTGGTTACCTGGAGAAAAGTGCACATGGCCTGGCAGAGGGTTTGATATCATCTGCAGAGGACCTTGGCTGTCAGCTTTAGGAAGATTCGCTTTGTTGTTGTTTAGAATTCATTTATTTGTTTAAGCTAGGGAGTGATGCTACTTAGAAATATCACTCTGGAGACCATTAGGAGGATGGTATACAGCAGGCCAGACTGCAGGCCAGCAGACTGTGTAGGAGGCCTTTGTGAAGATGCAGGAGTCTCATTTAGGACTTCAGGTACTAGGATGGAGAAGAGGTGGCACGTTCAAGACAGGAAGGAAGAGAACTCACATTTGATGAGTACCAAATTTCATGCCAAATTCTGAAGTAAGTTATGCAGCCCCTGTGGTCCAGCTTAAGCTTGACAACAAACCCACAGATGCAGGTGCTAGGCTCGTTTAACAGATAAGGAAGTTGAAGCTCAGAGAGGGCGAGTAACTTGCCCCAGATCACACAGGGAGAAGGGGAAGATCTGGAACTTAAACTCATATTGGTAAAAGCTCTTTAAAATATATCTGGCTGCCTCCCATGGTGACCCTATTGGACAATAATAATAAACACAATAATGATGATGATCCCAGCAATATTAGTATTCATGGCAGCTCACATTTGCTGTATGGTTGCCGTATGAGCCACAGAGTTCTAAGTACTTTGCACACACTATCTCCCTTCATTCTCATAATTTTACAAGATAGATATCGACAAAAGCTCCATTTTACAGGTGGGCACGCTGAGGTTCAGAGAGGTAGAGGAATTTAGCCAAGGCCACACAGCTATTAGTTGGTCAAATGAGACTTTGAACCTGTCTCTACAGTCCCGACACCTGCCCCTTTTCAGAAGGCGGGAGGATAGGGCGTGATGAGACCCTCCACTTCTTCAGCTGTAACCACCCTGTTGCTGTCTCCCTGAGCAGTGCCCTGAGGAGCTGAGGCCCATGAAGGACGGCTCCGGCTGCTATGATCACTCCAAAGGCATCGACTGCTCCGATGGCTTCAACGGCGGCTGCGAGCAGCTGTGCCTGCAGCAAACACTGCCTTTGCCCTACGATGCCACCTCCAGCACCATCTTCATGTTCTGCGGGTGAGTCTCTGTCCCCGAGGCCCGGCCTCTCCCTTCACAGCAGTGGGAGGGATGCAGAAAAAAGATCAGGAACTACAGCCTGGCCCAGCTGGGACTGACCTTCAATGAAATGGCCTTTCTGCCTCTGCTTTTTCAGCCCAAGAGGAAAAAGGCAACAATATAACCTTTTGTTGGGGATTGAAAAGAAGAATGGAAGAAGAAAAAAATAAATAATTGATTAATGGTTATGACAAATGGAATCCTTGCTCAGGCTGCATCCTAGGGTCAGGATTTTTTCCTGCAAAAGTCTCTTGCCCCTTCTGCATCACCCTGTAGCCACGGTCAGTGTATTTTGGAGACAAAAGCAGGCACCGTGAAGGTGTCTCTGAGAAACCAGCAGTTGTGATGCTTAAGAACACTGGCTTAGCCCAGGCTTTCAACTTTCTTTCTGCAGGGATTAAGCAGTGCCCAGTTCAGAGGTTACCCCTTCTTTGTCCTAATGCCCCTATCAATAACGATAATTAATTGGGGGAGGTGAGGTGGAAAAGAGACAACGCAGGCAAAGCTCAGAGCTCTCGCTCATGCTAAGAAATCAGCTGAGTTTTAAACTTAGTATGAGACTGAAAGAGGGGGTCACGTTCGGACCAACTTGCTGAGTGACCTGGGACAAGTCACTGTCCCTCTCTGGGCTGCAGTTTGACGACTTGTGAAATGAGATCTTCGGACAACGACGCCTAATAATTGTTCCAATTTATCTTGTTCTCCTTGTTGAAAACGTCTGCAGTGGGAGTTACCTCTGCCGTGGAGAGCTTCTAGCACAGCATTTGGTCCTCAGCAGTCACTCAAGAAAATGGCTGCCTTTTTTCTTCTCTTCATTCCCTTTCTGATGATGTCTTCATATTAGAAAATTTGCTCATTTTTTGACATTCTGTGACTCAGAAAAATAATTCTTTGCTTGTACAAGATGGTTGGTCATTGAAGGGTGCTCAGTGCTTTACTAAGATAGAAAAGCAGAATAAAGCATAAACAAACTTTTCAGTCCTACGTATTATGAAAGAGGAGGTGGGGGAATGTGTATGGGTTTAATCTCAGTTTAACAGAAAATTAATTTTACCTGCATGGTTCTAGTCCATGGGGTCTGGTTTTCCTTCTGGGGCTTATTTCAGGGTCTCCCCACCCCAGCCCCAGTTACACTGGGTGCTGCAGGCGCCCTTGAGCAGTTGTTAAAGCAACTTGCCCGGAGGCCCTAGATATGTATCAGTCAGATAAATAAGAAATAAAGTATTGTATGCAGACGTGGATTTATAGGGTCTCTCCTCAGTTTAAGTGACTGCAGGGCAGTGTTGAGTAAATTATGTGTGGGCTTAAATCTGAGACTTGAATAGTAAATCAGCTGTGTTCTTATTATCATTGTTATTGCACTTGGGGGGAGAAGTGTCCTTCTGTTGCAAATTATAGTAACAGCAGGGGCAACGGCAGTAATGGATTTTGACTTAGAAACTGTCACCACCGTTCATCCCTAGCACACTGCAGCAGTCCAGGGGAATCAGTAGACTTGGGTTCTAATCCTAACCCTACCTCTAACTTTCTCTTAAACATCAGGCAACTCTCAGGACCCCTGACCTTCAGTTTCTCCATCTCTAAAATTTTAATAATATCTACATCAACATACTGATGTTTGTGAAGATTGCAAAGTACATTTATTACTCCGTTCAGGTTAAGTAATGTGCCCAGGGGTCACACGGCTGGTAATGTAGCTTACCACCTCTCGCTGTGTGACCTTAAGCAGGGTACTTAACATCTCTATGCCTCAGTTTTCTCATCTGTTTGAAAGATGGTAATAGCATCTCTCTATAGAGTTGCTATGAGGATTAAATGCATTACATTAATTACATCACAGTTTACATTAATATTTCTAAAGTCCTTTGGAACAGTGCCCTGCACAGAGTTAGCACGAGTGTGTGTATTTGTTAAATAAAATAGCTAAAGTGAATGATAGTAATGACAGCAGCCCTCCACTTGCTCAGTGACCTGAGGTGCTCAACCTCTTAGTTTCCGGGTCTGTGAGACACGGACAAACTAACCTTCCCTACCCAGAAAGGTCTCTTAAAGTTTTAAGTTAGACTGAATTGGCAGAGCTGTTGAAGCTCATCCAAATGCTGATAAACAGGACAAAAAACGAGAATAAAACTCAGGTCTCCTAAAACCAGCTGCATTGTCAACATGCTTTGAAAATTGTCTATTAAGGATGCAAATGAGAAGTTAGCCACACTTGTTAGAAGCACTGTAAACAAAACCATTAGCAGGTACTTGTGTGAAAGTTGCTCTAGAGAAGTGGCAGGCTACTGAATTAAACAAGGAAAACAAACCCTCCTCAAGGGGACTTTGTCGACTTGCTCAGAGCTCTGTGCCTTTTCTGAGAGTTTCCTGGGTAGCACAGGTTTAATAAACCTGTTTGCAGGCAGGTTAATAATAGCAGCTAACACTTATTGAGCACTTCCTACATGCCATGACTGTGCTAAGTACTTTGATGACATTAGCCCATTGAATTCTCATACCAGCTCTACAAGGGAGGTACTAATATTATGATCTCGATTTACTGTCAAGAAAACCAGGCACAGAGGAGCTCAGTGATGACTTGCTCAAGGTCACACAGCTGAATAAATAGGGGCGTGGAGATTGAAACCCAGTCCACCGGGGCTCCAGTATTAGTCAAAACAGATCTGATAGCACTCCTGGCCTCTGGCCACTCCCGGCCATGTGGTTTTGAGCAAATCACTAAACATCTCTGAGACTCTTGTTTCCTGTAGAATCAGATGTGATTGCAGCGGCATTGTGAGGGTTAATTGAAATCACATGTGCATAGAGGCCGGCACGTGTAAGCACTCACTAAATGGTAGCTATAATTAGTCTGATAGGTATAAAGCCATCTCATTTAATCCTCCAATGACTGAATTGTCTGTCCTGTTCCCTGTTCTATCTCCAGCACATTAGAACAGTGCCTGACATGTAGTAGGTGCTCAATTAATAATTGTGAAATTAAGTTCCTCAATTGACACGGCTAAGCAAGTTGTTTGCAGTCTGCCCTTTTCAGCTGTATTTCCAGTTACGTCCCTATTCCTGAATTAGGCATCTTGGCTTCAGCTTCTGGAGTGTTCAGCGTTGTTTCCTCTGCTTCTCCTCCTCTCTTCCCCCCACTACCCCCCATTTGTCCGTGGCCCTTTAGCTTGAATGCTCTGTTTCATCTTCAAGTCTGGGTACAGATCCTAACCTTCTTCAGCCAGTCTTCTCTGAGTCCCAAGAGAAGTCCAAAAGTGAGATGTGTAGTTACCGTGGAGCCGGGTATATAACGCCTTGCCCTTTCAAATGGATACCATTTAAATGTTGGCTTAACATTTATCAAATCTTAATATTTATAGGAAAGACTGTTTTTCTTGTCTTATGTTAGTTTGGTTTTCTTGTTTTTTCTTTTCTATCCATAGGGCCTTCTTACCAGGGAAGGGCCATTGACATTTTGTCTCCAATTCTAATTTATCCCAGTGAAATCTTGACACCTCTGGCAGACTGGACCGCTGGCTGGCTGTTCCGGTTGTCAGCCCTAGTCAGGTCAAGTTCCTCAAAACTGAGTAAAGCATCCTTTCTCTGGAGTCACACAGCCCCCCACCCCATGCTTCTCACTGTCGCAGCCCCATTGCTGTGTTGACTTACCTGCTTTCCTCTCTGGTCCCTGTCACACTGCAGACTCCTCATGAGCAGGGACGAGGTCTTAATCACCTGTGTGTCCCCGTTGTCACTGCTTGCCCAAGGACTCTTTCAAAGCCATAACTGTCAAATTAAAGAATTCATCCACCTAAGATTTGCTGCCCCAACTCTGTGCCTGGTCTTTTGTGGGGTGATAAGAATGCAAAGAAGCGTTGAGTACAAGTCCTTGCCCACCAGGGGCAAAGTGGACTCTGGGGACAGGTGTTTGAGCCTCACTTGGTCCTGATTGATGTTGATAGACTGCAGGTGACAGTATGATAAGAGAAGCAGGTGGATTTGAGATAGGTTGAAAAAGTCATTGTATACTAAGATGAAACATTTAGAATGAATCTTATGGGCGAGGAAGCATTTCTTCTCTCCAAGACCTACACAAGTTACCTAGCAACCACGTTTGTTTCATTTGTACATGTGTTTACAGCATATACCGCGCATTCTTCCAAGAGAAGTTAATATTATCCACATGAACCCAACCTATAAAAAATGGATAATATAAAGATATGACAGGACGGATCACAGCCATTTGTAAGGAGAGAAAGGGAAAGGGAGAAAATGGTTTCAGGAGCCTGAAATGGGAAAATTACTCAATGTGAGATAAATTTAGCACTGTTTGTCTTGGCAACCAAAGTAAGCAGAAAAAAAAAATGGTGGATTATAGAATTGTCCTTGCTTGAGAAAAGGAAGTTTGCAGTTTTGGGGGTTTTTGCTTTGCTTTGTTTTGTTTTCCAGAGGATATACTCCTTTTCCTGACATAATTTGCCAAGAGAGATGTTTCCTATATATACCTATATAAGGAGTAGTGAACAATGCCATCAACAGTTTTGAAGTTTCAGTATTTCTCGCATCATTTAGAGGAGAAAACTGAGGCCCAGAAGGGTCTCACAGCCAGTGAGGAGGTGAAATTGGGATAGGAGATGTCCCAGGCTACTCTCTTCTAATCTGAATATATTGAATATACTTAAATATAATTTACTTTAAAGTGCAGTGAAAATGTATGTAAAAATATGGACTCAAAGGACTCCCCTGGTGGTCCAGTGGCTAAGACTCCACGCTCCCAATGCAGGGGGCCCGGGTTCGATCCCTGGTCAGGGAACTAGATCCCACATGCATGCCACAGTTAAAAAAAGATCCCGCATGCCACAACAAAGACCCCGCGTGCCTCAACTAAGACCTGGCGCAGCCAAATAAATAAATAAATATTTAAAAAATATATATATATGGACTCAAAGAGCACATCCAGCCTCAATAGTCCTTGCTAGGCT